TCAATTTAATATTTTCATGCATGTCACTTTTGTCCTGAGGATTATTACTCCCCTCACTCTGGACCTGATGACTCTAAGTGATGAACTGCACTGAAACCTTTGAAAACTTATCACATTTTGAGAGCTTCAACTAATGATTTTTCGTCAAGAATGAGTTAAAGGTGCATTGTGTAACGTCGTCTGCTTGTTTCTATGGATACGTCGTATGTCTCTGTCTGGAATGTTCCACAATATGACATTAAACCATACATTTATTCAATTACAGGTGGTTTTATAGCTCAAAAATCCCTAGAAAAACAGACATTCTGACTGTGAGTGGGGTCGCCTCTCCACAGAGCTGACCTGTAACTTGGAACAATTTAATGTAAACGGACAAAGCAATAACATCTCCATGGAAAAATCATTTGACGGACACTTTGCTAAACAGTGAAAATCAGGATCTTCTGGTTCGAGGGTAAATTCTCGGCTTGCTACACTTTTTGCATTAACTGACTTACAGTTTTGTTTTTGTTTGTTTTTTTTATTGCTAAAACCTGGTGCCTCCAAATGCAAGTTTAATGCCAGACTATGGTACATTCCTGAGAAACAGAAGTATGTACAAAATAGTTCAAGTAAGAATAAATTGAAAGAGAAACCGCTGGGACTTAACATCTTTTATAAGTTAAAACAATTTGAGCGACACAAATAACAAAACGAAACAAATCAAACAATGCACAAAAGATCGACACGGAACTAACTCGTTTCCGAAGACGCGTATGGGAAATACAAATGTTCAAATCCTTTCATATTGTCAACATAAATCTTTTTGTAGACTTCAAGTAAGAGTGCTTTTACTTCAATTAAAAGAAAACAAAACAAAAAAATATTCAAGTAGGAGTAAAACTATGAAGGTAGAAAAGTACGCTGAAAAGAAAAGTACAATGTATGTGAAAAGCGACACAAGTAAACGTAACAGAGTACTACCCACCTATACTGGCGAAGCAATAAAATTTCTATTTAGACAAGCGACCTCCACCAGAAAAGTGTCCAGTCTTGTCACGACAACAAAACACAAAAGAGACTTTACAACACCAGTGTAGGAGAAGATATATGGGACCAGGACCACCGCAAGTGACAACAGTAAAAAAATAAATTTAAAAAAAACTTAAACTGATCTCTAACCAGCAAGCCAAAGGAACAAAAACCTCCCGTCTTTCTCCGGAGAAGTGTGGAGAGAAAGGGATTTCCGCTGGCCGCTAATCAATCAGGCTGTGATAATGGCTCCCATGCAGGCCGGAGCGCTGGAGGGGTCAGGGCATCTCGTGACCCGGCGGCCGGAGTCCAGGGCCCAGAGGCAGGCTCCCAAAAGCACCCCAGGGCCCACTCCCCCGCCGGCTAATTGTCCCAATGGTGTCAGCCTTTTCAATGCCCCGTCAAAGCCCCTGTCCAAACTTTCTTTCACTGCACAGTTTGTTCAGTGCTAGTAGTAGTAGTAGTGGTAATAGTCACAAGTAGTAATAGTAGTAGTAGTAGTAGTAGTAGTAGTAGTAGTAGTAGTAGTAGTAGTAGTAATGGTAACAAGCGGTAGTAGTATTAATAGTAATAGTAGTAATAGTAATAGAAATAGTAATAGCAAAAAGTAGTAATAGTAATAGTAACCAAGTATTTATAGTAATAGTATCTACTACTACTACTAGTAGTAGTAGTAGTAGTAGTAGTAGTAGTAGTAGTAGTAGTAGCAGTAGTAGTACTAGTAGCAGCAGCAGTAATAGTGACAAATAGTAGTAATAGTAACAAGTAATAGTAACAGTAATAGTAACAAGTAGTAGTAGTAGTGATAGTAACAAGTAGTAGTCATAGTAATAGCAACAAGTGGTAGCAGTAATAGTAATAGCAACAAGCAGAGGTAGTAGTAACAGTAAAAGTAACAAGTAGTAGCAGTAGTAATAGTAAGTAATAGTAATAGTAATAGTATGTAGTAGTAATAGTAATAGTATGTAGTAGTAATAGTAATAGTAAGAAGTAGTAATAGTAATAGTAAGTAGTAGTAATAGTAATAGTAAGTAGTAGTAATAGTAATAGTAAGTAGTAGTAATGGTAAATAGTAGTAATAGTAAGTAGTAGTAATAGTATGTAGTAGTAATAGTAAATAGTAGTAGTAGTAGTAGTAGTAGTAGTAGTAGTAGTAGTAGTAGTACCCTTATTGGCCAAGCTGTGTTATTTTTTTAAGTTTCCCTCTCAGTGCTTCTATCTCCTCTCATTTAAACTTTCTTTTTATGAAGACTACACATAGCAGCTACAGTAATAGTAATAGTAACAAGTAGTAGTAGTTGCAGTAATAGTAGTAGTAGCAGCAGCAGTAATCTCCTTATTGACCTATTCATTCAGCGACGTCAGTACTTTTAATGCCCCTTCTCGTTTCATCCATCTCCCCCTGTCTAAACTATCTTTTAGACAGGAAAAGATTCTGGGTGAAATTGTAGCAGTAACAGTATTAGTAGTACCACTAGTAGTACTAATAGTAGTGGGCGCAGTAGTAGTTTTTGTTGTCTCCTCTCCTCCTCTCCACTAGTCTTTCCAATGCACCCTCTCACTCAGTCCATCTCCCCTTGTCTAATGATTCTGTCAGGATAAAGTAACTCAGTAGTAGTCATAGTAGTAGTAGTAGTAGTAGTAGTAGTAGTAGTAGTAGTATCCATAGTCTGTTGTACTAATGCTAGAAGTAGTCATAATTGAAATCGGGGATAACAACAGTAGAAGAAATACTAGTAACTGTGGACTTTTTGGTTTAATTATACAAAAAAAAGTCATTTCAATGTCTCTTTCTCTTTCCTCTCTGTTTCCTTCCATGATTCCATCCTCTTTCTCATTCTCTCTTTTTCTCTCTGTGTGCCACCCGTCTCTCCATCTCCTTTTTCTCTCTGAGCTTCTCTCTGTCTTTTTGTTCTGTAGAAGTAAAACCCAGAAACAAAAGCATTCGCAGACTCCTGTGCACTAATTGTCCAAGCCAGTGTCTTCTGAATACCTCTCCCCTCCGCTTCCTCCTCTCTCTCTCTCCACCTTCACTTTCTTTTTTCATTCTTCAGATTTTGTGAGAGAATTCAAAAACCTGTGAGTCTCAAGATTGCACACTTTCACCGTCAGTACAGCCCGCGTTCGGAACGGGGCCGCGTCGATAGAAGTAAAAGTACTGCAATTTGCCAAAGGTACTAGGATCCTTTCGCTGATTGTCTGAGCCAGTTGCAGCCTTTTCAATACCCCGCTTTCCTCCTCCTCCTCTTTTTCACCCCCTCCCTCTCGTCTCCTCCTCCCCCTCGCTTAACTTTCTCCTTCATTCCTAACTCTTTCTTGTCCTGTGCCCTCCCCAAGCATCCCCAAAAAAAAAAAAAAAAATCCTTCGCAATCCCTGCTTTCAACGCACAACCAGGAATGCGCCACTTGTGGAATGTAAGTCAATGGAGCAGTGAAGTATTTTGGGAATTCTTACCTCTGCCTATCTCTTATAAAAAAAAAAAAAAAAAAAAAAAAAAAAAGATGGACTTAATTAAAAAAAAAAAAAAAAAAAAAAAGAAGGAAAGAACTCAGAAATAAAAATTTAAAACTAGATTCTGTCTAGAAATTACTTATTATAAAGTGAAAATGGTCTAAAAAAAAATCAAAAATAAATAAATCAATCAAAAATAAATAAAACAAATTAATAAATTAAAAATAGGAAAGAATTCAGAAAAAAAAGGAAAAAAAAAATCTGTCTAGAAAAAAATTTATAAATAATAAAAAAAATGCTATGTTTAGTGATTACAAAGCTTCCAACTACATCTTCCACGACTTCTGGACATCGGTATATTCGCCTGCTCGTCTTCACGGACATCGTTAAATTTAATTAATCCCTCACTGTGGAACATTCCGCTCTATGCAATAACATCTCCTTGAAGTCAAGCAAGTGACCGAAATGTTCCATAGTGCGCCTTTACATCACTATCCCTATAAGTAGCAACTTTGACGATTGAGAAAAAAAACAAAAACAAAACAAAAACAAAACAAAATTAAAAACATGATGGTGTGTGAAATCTTGCTTTTATGCAGTGCGTTATAATTTATATTTGTAGAAGTGTCTGACAGTATTTAAGTTTAGAAAGTTGAAAGCAAGTAGTAAAGGTGAGTTACGTAACTTTTCTGATAGACGGCCCGCCATCTGCTTATGTTATTGCTTCGCCTGGAATGTTCCACAGTGTGACATTAAACGTATCTAGTTTACATTTTACAAATACATTTTCATTGCTTTAAAAAAATATTTGGAAAAACATGAATTCTTACTGTATATGATAGTGGGTCACTTCTCCACAGATCTGACCTATAACTGTGCCTATAGACTCTAAATGGACATTAACGATATTAGATGAGTTTAATGTCACACTGTGGAACATTCTAGGCAAAGAAATATCGTGGTGGACCCTTCACCGGAAAAGTTACGCAGCCCAACTTTAAAGGAGATCAGGACAAGAGGACATACTTCCAAAACAATTACGCGTACTGATAAGTGGCACCGAAAGTAAGCAAAGTGTCCTCTGAGCATCCCCGGGAGCGCACGGACGCCTCTGCCGCTCCATCAGCATATCAATGACCGTACATAAATCACACCGTAACCAGCGTGCGTCTTCGCTATCCACCATCCCGACGCGAGCGCCACAACGCGCCCGGCATACCAACGACAGCGACACCCGGGGAAAGCGGCACCGACAGCGGGGCGCACTGACTCAGCGGTCCCGGCGAAGCGCACCCGGGGTCCCCTCCAGCTCCGAGCCGGCTTGGGCACTCCACTTCGCCCGTGCGCACGCGTCTCACCAGCGGCACCGTGCGCGGATAGATCCAAGAGCGGATGGAGCGCGTATCCGGATGCTGCCCCGCGTCTCATCCACTCCTGTCCGGTCACTGATAGCCAACTCTCCCCGCTTGGCATCGCCTTGTGCGTAAAAAAAAAAAAAAAAAAAAACAGCTCAAAATAATGAAATAATTGTACTTACGGCGCGCTTCTGGTGTACCCCAAAAATATTTAGCGTTAATTCCGATGTGTCACTCGTTGATGTCCAGTGAAATAGTAGTAGCGTAAGATATTCCGGCGTGCGTCTCGCTGTCAGTCCGATACGGGGAATAAGTTGCCGTGTCCGAGCATGTGTGTCCGCGTGCAAGTGGGGGGAAAGGAGCTACGGTACGGTGGACAGCGCGTGCGTCAGTGTCCACGTCTCGCAGTGCTGTGCCGTGAGTGCGCGAGCTCCAGTCTGTTTTAACCAGGCTGCTCTCCCCATGTGACCAGCGCACACAGGCTCCAATGCGTTACCGACACAGCCTCTCTCTCTCTCTCTTCCTCTCTCTCGCTTTCCCTCTCCCTCTCTCGCGCTGTCTCCTGTGCCCGGAGATGCACCACGACCGCGGCGCGCCCCCTAGCCACGGCCCGGGGAAGTGACGGCAGCCTACCGGTGTACGCACGCACAAGAACGAACACAGACGCACACACACACGCTCGGGGAAGAAGGATTTTATAGGAGCAAGCAGATCTGAACAGGTGCAGGTGCGACGACTCCAAACGGAATAGTAGAAATTATAAGCTGTTTAAGACTCGGAATTATAATAAAAGACGAAAAATACATTTGTTTCCTCACACGGAATTACAAAAAGAAAAAGAAAAATTGCAATGTAGGTTATTCAATTTGATGTTTGTTGTTGTTGTTGTTGTTGTTGAATTTGTGATTTGCGGATTGTGTTGTTTATTCAATACCAAAGCATGTAGTCATAAAAAAAAGTTTCAAGAGTTCACGGTCCTGTTTAGGAGTTTAATTTGACAAAAAGACAGAGGTGGAACTAAGTCATTGTTCTGCAAGTCTCAAGTAAGTCTCAAGTCTTGGACTTGCCTGTGTTTGACTCGGGACTTGAGGTCAAAGTCGAGTCTCAAGTCACTGGCTCATAAGTCCAAGTCAAGTCCAAGTTGTCTGCTTTGAGCTTCAAGTCATTTCAAGTCTTTAAACCAAAGTATCAAATATAGCATAGATTTTTATTATTTACATGACTTTTAAACTGTACTTAAAAAGTCATGAGTATTTGTATAAGAGTTGTAGAAATGCTATTTTTTCCTTTTTTTTTAAATTAAGATTTAAAAGTGCTCAATAACTGTTATTGTGTCATGTAGAAATGAAAGGATCATGTTCTATCCTGTTTCCTCTGTTTTACTGTATTGTACTGTATATTACTGTATACTACTGCATTGTACTGTATATACTGTATATTACTGTACTGTATTGTACTGTATATTACTGTATTGTATTGTATTTTACTGTTGTACATTTGAGGATACCACCTCACAGTACTTCAGTTTCATTCAAAGTACTAAACAGAAGTGGGAGGGACATGTTCCAGATTGTTCCTGTAAAATTCAGCACCACATTTATCAAATTAAAAGAAAAGTATTTTCTAAAAACATAGATTTTTTTAAGAGAAGCATCAAGTCTTCTCAAGTCACAGGGCTCAAGTCCAAGTCAAGCCCCAGGCTACTGACCTTCAAGTCCAAGGTCCAAGCCAGTCTATTTTATCAAGTCAAGTCTCAAGTCCTAAAAATAGTGACTCAAGTCTGACTCGAGTCCAAATCATGACTTGCAAGTTCCCACCTCTGCAAAAAGGTGAGAGTGACTAACTGAAAAACTGTTGGCAAATGTTACTCAGCTTGTGACTGTAGTTTTATCATGTGTAAGAGACTCTTTTGTAGTTATAACACAGGGGTCATCAAACTAAGGCCCGCGGGCGACTCCGGCCTGCCACGCTCCTTTGACCGGCCCCTCACCACTTGACCTGGCCCTATGAGGCAATCCTCAAAAGTTGCCATTGCCTATTTTAATTCTTTTTTTTACTTTTTTGGCAAATAATAACATGTCTGCATCTTGTATTATCTTGATTTTTTTCAATTAAAATGATATAATTATATGACGTATTTACTTTTGCCTCTATTTTTTTTTTTCGTCACCTGACAAGCTCGAGATCAAACAGTGACAGTCATAGAGTTCTGTAGTTCAGTTAAGGACAGCGAAATGCCTAGTATTAAAACACAAAAACTCAACAGAGAGTGCCGAGTTTTCAAAGAACTGTGTATGAGCGAATTTTTTTGTTCAGTGTAAGGACCGTGCAGCTTGTGTGGTATGTAAAGAAAGTGTAGCAGTTTTCAAAGAATATAAATATATATGTATATACCGTCGTCAGGGTCATACAATTCTGTTATATGAACGACTCGCCATCACAGTCAGGAGCGATAATGTGGCCCCAGAGAAAAAAGTTTGGCGACCTCTGCTCTAACAGGAATGGTTGATGGCGTCAGCTGCAAAGTTTCAGTATAAATCCTTGGAGTTCTCACGAGATAAAATTAGAGATATCAAAGCACAAGTGTGGAAAACGATCTGGTGAGATTTTTTATTCTTCCTTTTTAAAATAATTTCAGTCTATAAAAAAAGATTTGGGTACGTGCTTGATAATGGAGCTCAACAGTGACCACCCACCCTCTGGTTCCGGAAGTAATTTTCTCATTTTTTCCCCATTTGGCTTTCTGAATAAAAGAAAAATGAAGCATTGGAAGGCTTGCTCAAGGCTTATCAACTATGTGGTAACTAATGACCACAAGACCAATCATTTCACTCCCAATCTGTTTCTGAAAAGTTAAACTGGCAATTCTTTTGAAACATGTCACAAAATCTTGCATTTTAAACGTGCTTTGTTTGTAAAAAAGCCCGTATGACACTATTTTCTAATCTACATTTTCTGATAAAACACCACCTTGTAATGTCATGAGGTAATACAATAAGTGCTCTACTGTGTTTTTAAACTCCATACTATCTCATGTATCATTTGGATCATTTCAGCCTTTGATTGGCAATTTCTACTGTGTAAAATGTAAAAGATGTTAACTTGAAAACTACGACTACATATAGGGGCGTCGGACTGGGAGTGGGGGTAAAGGGTACAGTTTACCCAGAGCAGGGAGGGGCCCTTCACAAAATCTGTAATATGCAATTTTCATTTAGGGAACGTGTAATGGGCCCACGAAGATGATTTGGAAGCGCAAGTCCGGGCACCAGCCAATCAGCGAAGAGCAATACATTCTGTGATGGCAACGATTCCCAAGATCGAGGATTTAAAGCTGGAACAAAGAGAATGTTTGGTGAATTTTATCAAGGGGAAAGACATTATTGCCCTTCTTTCTACAGGATTTGGGAAAAGCTTAATATACCAGTTAGCCCTGTTAGCGGCGCATTACATACGTCACGACCAATTAGAAGAAATTGGTTAAAGGGCCCATCTCATGCAAAATAACTCTTTTCACATTGTATGTTATGCACATATACAAGCACAATTTGGGTTTTGGAACATCCATTACACATTAGTTAGAACTTATGAACTCTTACAGATTTTTTGGAGGCAGTCACAGACCAGGTACTATGAAAGGTCGGCCATTGCTCATCCCCCCGTCCGTCCTGAAAAAGCACCGCTCCGCCCTCCAAAAGTGACATAGGCTCTGAGTGAGCCGCCCTTCTTCCACCCATCTCAGGGAGGGAGGGGGAGACAGGTGGCACCCTGATAGCGGCAGGAATAAACTTTTATTCATCATGACGATACAGCACGTTCAGCCGCATGTGTTTGACCCGGAATCGGACGAGGACTTTGAGGTGCATGAAGCGCAAGCACCACGTCAACATCAGCTGAACATTACTGACTGATAAAGTATTAATAAACACTAGTAGATAAACTTATTATGTCGTGTTCACTGCAGTGTAGAACATTTAGCTTATGCTGTCGCTTTTGTTTAGTTGTTCATGTGGGAATTGTCAGCCGATGCAGGGTGGAGGTGGGGCGGATGCGGTGGAGCGGGGAACGAGTGTGGGTGCAAAGAGACTTCTGCTACATCAAATGTGATATAGGTGTAGCTGCCACTATGTTTTTGAGGAAGTAACAATGTTCTAACATGGCCTAAAGCTCACAAGAGTCCATTTTGCATAATACAGGATCTTTAATAATATCAGATCAATGGAATAAATGAAAAGATAGATGAAATCAAATGCCATACTGTGGAACATAGACGGCAACTATTTATCTCAAGCAGATAAGTTCAGGTTCACTAGTCAAAGTCCAGACTGTGTCCAGCCAGAGTACAAGTAAACCCCAGACTTTGTTACGTGTGTGTGGTGTGTGTGTGTTGGGGGGGCAGCACATTCTGCTGCGGCCCGTGGACTTCACACCTGGAAGCACTGACCTTTTCAGCAATGGAACCCTTTTAAAGCTGACCTTCTGTTAAAGACTGATACAAGCTCCCTCCTCATCGCAACTATTACCCCCAAACAAGCCTGAAAAGCATCTAATCAAGCACGGCCTCAAAGCGCATTTTCAACTTACACGCCCACAGCTGAATGGCCATGGTAAAGTATAAATAATGTTAGTTTATGTTTTATAGATGCACTATCTAACTTTTCTGGTGGATGGTCTCAAATGGCTAGCCTGATTTATCAGCCGGTTTCACTTTGTGGAAACCGTCTGACCTCACAATATTAGGATTCGTTCACTCAGTGGTTGGTGGGTACTTTTTTTATTTAACCAATCAGTCGTGACGTATCTAATGCACCAGAACGCTCAGTGGTGTCCAAGTAATTGCCGACAATACCACAAACAAATAAGAGAGTGAAAATCTTTGGTTTCGGGAATCATTGCCTACACAGAATATATGTCTACATCTACATCCATCTCGACCGCTTTGTTTACTGTTGTGCTGTTCCACAAAAGGGACCCAGACAGGCGCCTGAGTTTGACGTCATGGCTTCACAGCTCTTCGCTGATTGGGTGCCCGGTCTACAACTTCCAGGGTTCTTGCAAACCGTCTAGTGTATTTTGATTCCTGATCTAGTCGCTGGGGAGAAATTAAACTGAGTGGAGGCACTAGGTGGCGCCAGCCTAGCTATCAAATGACATCACAACATTCCAAATTCCAATAATAATTAAAGGATCCATGTTACATTATTTTCAAATCTATTTTATAATGTTGTTTCCTCATCACAAACAGACCTGGAGTTGCGTGTTAAATGTGTAAATTAAACAAAACACAACTCCTGCATATTTAAGATGAGTTCTTCTCTCAAACAGAAAACACTATTTCCATCTTGTGATGTCAGGTGGTAATACATAAAGCACTACACTGTTTTTTTAAACTCCATACACCTTCTCTAGAATTATTTGGATGATTTCAGCCATGGAAAGCCATTT